TGTATGACTAAAATGTGTTTGTTTGAAAATTGACATCTGATTTCTTTGAACGATTCGTATATTGTTCTCTAAATACATTAATTTGAAAGTATGTGCATTTTGAAAAAAAGTACTGAAAAAATGTGCACAGATTTCTCTGTGGGGAGAAATGTTGTTTTTTCAAGCCAATATGGAAATAGCATGAAATAAGAACAAAAGAAGGAACTTATAAGTTGAATGCGAATGAGACTGACTGATTTCTACCATGATGGCTAACACCCTAGCATGGGTTGATGGCTGATGTGGAATTTGAACCTGAAGTCTTTTGCAGCATAGCTAACACTCCTGAGCATGCTTTTATACTAGTCTCTGTAGTATAGCAATATATGAGGGATTATTGGGGTGGGGGTGGGGCAGAAATTGTCAGAGGCTATTTTTCTAGATAGTCAGTGCTTATTACTTCAAATCTGGAATTTGGCCAAATAGTCACAGTAGGTCTAAGAGCAGTTTTTTTGTTTCATTTTTTTTGTCATATTTAACCCCCAGCTGCAAATAAGGCACCTTTGATAACCTATCTCTACATCTTGATTAAAAATATGAGAGCATGAAAAGAAGGGTCATGTATTATATCTGCTTCCTGTAAACACACTGGAACATTGCATGACCTTTTTTTCAGTGCAATCATGACTTTCAACAATAGTTTAAATTTAAACTATTGTTTAAATTAGTGAAATTAGAAATAAGGTGAAAATCAGACAACAGTGTCCTATACTTCTGTAGTCTATTTTTCAGTAGAAGCTGATTTTGCCACATCATCCACATTTCTGATCCAAGTGCAAGGTGACATTGAGATAGTATTAATCTGATTTTAAAACAATCCTATGTAGCTACAATGGCTGGTGGTCAGTTGAGCTGACTCTGGGCCAGCTGAAGCTGTGTTGAATACAAGCTCTCCCCTGACTAGGGATATTGGAAATTATTATTATTTATTACTGTCTTTGCCTTAATGTCTGGATAACTCAGTGGATTAATTATCTGGCTGCAGAGCCAAACGTTGGGCGTTCAATTTCCCCACTGTGCTTCCTGTGAGTACAGCCAGCCTGTATGGCCTTAGGAAAGCTGCACAGCTCCAGGGCACCCCCCCCCAGAAGAAGGGAATGGCTAACCACTTCAGGGTAACTATAAAACCCTAGAAAGGGTTGCCATAAATCAGAATTGACTTGACAGCACACAATTATTATTATCCTGTCCTTTATCTAACATTGTCCTGGCATCCACTTGGGGGCAGCACCCTGACTTCCCTGCCCCACCTCCTCTGGGCACTGCCTCTGAGTGGGCAGCCGCTGGAGTAGGTGGAGCTTTGAAGCACCAAACACTTGTTCAGATGATAAATGAACCAGCGTGAACCACCAAACTGGAGGTTTATGCCTATCTCTAGGCAAAACACATCCTCTTCCTTATTCCAACCCCCCTCCATCCCTTTTTTATTCTTCTGCTAAGAGATCTTATTCATCAGACTATTTCTGTGCTGCCCAGTTGTAGACCTTTGGTCTAGATGGGCGGGGTAGAAGTCTAATAAATAAATAATACATTCTTCCAGGATATCCCTCTTCTGGCACATCTGTCAGATTAACCACCAGAAGGGGGTTCTAAAGATGTAAAGATTTTTTTCTGTCAACAAAAAAGTATTTTGCCTATTTCAAATCCCTTACAGTCAGCACATCTGAGTTAGGATTGAACTGCTAGTCTTAAATAAATAAATAAATAAATAAATAAATAAATAAATAAATAAATAAATAAATAAATAAATAAATAAATAAATATGCTGAATTGAAAACTGGATATGATTTAGTTCTTTGTCGAATGTGAGCCTAAACCTTGCTCTGAACTTGCTTGACACATGCCCTGAACTAATAGTTATGAAGAGTAAAAGAAGCTTCAGAAAAGGGTCTATCTCTTTCCACATATAAAATTCAAAAACCTGGAATCCTATATGTTAAACATAAGTTATTCAAAAGGGGTATGCAGAAGCTCCCTGACCACTCTATACTTGAACAAAGGGCATACAGTTCAGGGTAACCTTCACTGTATCCATTAGGATGCTCGATCTTTGAGTCTGTGGCATTTTCTGTCTTTCCAGATCAACAGAACAGAAAAATGAGGAAAAATACAATTAGCTATGATCTAAGGCAAGGGGGATGCAGTGCCCTAGTGGTGTGACCTCACACATTAAATCACTCACACACACACACGCACACACACACACACACACACAGAGTTCTAATAGTCTAATGATATTTTAGTAAAGGTCAACAAACTAACCTGAAAGAGAACCAAAAAACAAAACAAAACAAAACAAGCCAGAATGCAAAAATCTAAATAGTGATGCCCATCTTTCTCTGCCCTACAACTCTGCAAAAAGGCTGGTGCAGTGGCTATAGGGGGTTATATGTAGTGACCTCAATCTTAATCCTGCCTAGCACTTCAGTGGTGGAGTATCTAGACTGCAGATCATGGGCTTCACTGAGGAATTCTGCTGTCTCCTATGATTCAGTAGTTTTTGCACATTTGTTCTAAAACAGGGTATGTCTGATACTGAATATTGCATTGGGACTATTAGTAATGTGTGAAAGAATATTGCAGAGGTCTATGAGAAAAATTGTCAACCACTGTCTTACAGCATGTCCTGCTTTGGAGGGTTGGGGATGCATATGTATTTATTTGTCACAACACATTTGAAATGAAGAAAGCTATGACATCACTTCAGATCCGAGTTCATCCTTTTACTTGGTGAAATTGTTAGGAAGAGTGCAAACATATTTTCTTCTGAGATACTTCTCTTTTGAAGTGCTTTTCTTCTCTTGATTTATATGGTGAGCAGAGACTGCTTCAGCTGTAGTATGTTCAGAGCTTCTCCAAAGAAACAATGAATGTCATGTGTATTGTGAATATTGCAGAGGTTCACCTATATTGTTTTCAGCTGGGACTGACAATATGTCAAGTTAGAATTGTAATGTTCAAGCAAATGTGTTCAGCAGTTCCTTAAATAAATATTAGTAAAAGATTCTATTCAGTGATAATTGTTTGAACTTCGAGAAAAAATATTCAACACATATCTTTTGCATGAACATTTCTCAGTGTATAAACACAGGTAAAGAGATAGTTTAGTTCTCATGCAAATCAGATCTGATTGTTCGAAGAACTGTTTGTAATTCTAGTGTGTAATCAGATGTCTTTGCTGACAGATACCTTTAAAATGCCTGGGAATTATCCTTAGACATGTTGGTATATTTGTTTTGTTTCTTTGTTAATAATGTGTAGAGATCAATCCTTTATACTTGAGACAACCATTTAGCGTAATCAGTACCATGAGATTATTATTTCAGTACTATCTACAAAACATTATTTGACAATCATAGCCTCAATCCATATATATAAGAATATATATATACCTATTCTTATATATAAGCCTGGCGTGCTCTGGTCCACGGGGTCACGAAGAGTCGGACACGACTAAATGACGATACCTATTCTTTTATATGCACTTCACCCAGTGCAAAAGCTGCTTTTGTCCTGGCACCGATATACCATTTGTGGGAAAAATGATCAAGAGGGTGGTGGCTGACCAGCTGGAGATGTTTTTGGAGGACACCAGTAGTCTTGATCCATTTCAGTTGGAATTTAGACTGCATCATGGGACTGAGAGAGTTCTCATTGCCCCACTCAATGACTTATTAAGGAATGCCGACTAGGGGAGTATAACCTTGCTGGTCCCCCTGGATCTCTCAGCAGCCTTTGATACAATTGACTACAGTATCCTTCTGGATCAGTCAGTAAGCCTGAGAATCAGGGGACTAGCATTATGCTGGCTCTAATCCATACATAAATGCCATATCCAGATAGTGTAGCCTGTGGAGATTGTTTTGACCCTGTGGGTTCTACAATGTGGAGTCCAACAAGGGTCAGTTATCTCCCCAGTGCTGTTTAACATGTATATGAGGCCACTGGAGTAGGTTACCCAGAATCCACTGTCATCAGTATGCTGATGACACACAGCTCTATAGCTTCTTTGGCAGGGAAAGCTGTGCCGACCCTAGAGCACTGCCTGGCCTGTTATGGACTGGATGAGGGTGAACAGGTTGTGGTTGAATTCTGACAAGATGGAGATCCTGTTGTAAGGAGGGGCCCCTTTGGCTTGCTCCTTCCATCTTGATGACAAAACAGATCTTGGCCGCAGTCAGGTCTGCCTTATTTCTATCTTAGAAGCAGCCCAAATTAGACAAGTCCATGATAACACCAGCTGATGCATTGGTAATCTCAAGGATTGACTATTGCAATGCTCTCCATGTAAGGCTGTCCTTGAAGGTGGTATGGAAATTGCAGCGAGTCCAAAATGCAGCAGTCAGGCTGATCTCAAGAACATAGATACGATCATATTTTCCTGGTTGTGGCTTGCGTGCACTGACTGGTGGTTTGCTTCTGTGTCAAATTCAACGACTTATAAAGCCCTGAATAGTTTGAGACCTCACTGCCCATCGGTGCTCCTTCCTCTGAGATCAACTCACATTTTTCAGGCTCTAACGTTGCAAGTGGTCATCCCAAGGGAGGCCAGGATGTCTGTGACTTGGAACTGGGCCTTCTCAGTGGTGGCCACTTCTTTGTGGAACACTCTACCTATGGAAGAGCATCAGACCCTTTCCCTCCTAATATTCAGGAAGCACCTTAAACATTGCTTTTCAGGGATGCATTTCAGGATCTTTATAACTGTTCGTTAAATAGGGTTTTTTGTTTCTATTATATTTTGTAGCCTGCATTTGTATCCATTGCTGCTATCTTGGGTTTTTAGGAGTGTTGTTCTCCTTCTTATATATTTTTATTTTGTGGTTGGGTGTTGGGGTTTTTTTAATGTTTATTTTCATTTTTGGAAACCGCCCAGGGTAGTGGCATGCCACTAGTGTAAACATGTAATAATGAAATAAATAATAAATGTAGTGTTGGCCTCTTTTTTCCTCCACTTACAGAGTTCCCAACTTGTGACCCAGTAGCTCATTTTGTATGCAGAAATGGAAGGTGCATTAGTAGCAAGTGGCATTGTGATTCAGGTAAGAACCAAACCTTCATCTTCATTCACAAAAGGTCCCTCTGCCCTATTTTCACTGAACTGCTATTTTACTAGGCCTCTTGCCCATTCGTATTTGGCAGGATTGTGAGAGACTTTTGTGGAGAGTGGTTGGCTTCTCACAGGAGAAAGGGACAGAAAAGTTCACCTCCCATCTAGCACCAAGCCTCTATGTCTTGAACTGACAAGATTTTTTTTTCTTTTCACATATTTATGGCAGAGTCTATATCAACAGATTTCAGGGACATATACCATCCATAAAGTTGCACTGAAATATGCCGATTTACCAACTTCAAAAAACTTAGAATACTATAGAACATGTTATAATGAGGAGAGTAAAAAAAGAAAGAATACTAAAACAAGCCAACTTCCTGATTGGAAGCAGGGGTTTGATCCTACTAAGCGGTAATTGTCAACTGGCCTGTTACAGCACTGTAGCTTTAGATCTTCTGTGAACCATGGGGCAGTATGGGCTCCACCGGGTCAGAGTGGGCCCTTGGAGTAAATTTCTCACAGTTCCATAGGGAAACCAAGGCTACCTTGAACAGAAACACCACCTCTTTCAGCTGGAAAACACCCCAGAAGTTTTAGGAAACCCTCAGGCTCTATATATCTTAAGATGACCACCTTGATTCATTCTCCACCTCTGCAAGGAGCTTCTGTTGCCATCATTCCAGACCTCACAAGGACGTCAGTCCTTCACTGCATGATGCTTCATTGAACCTAATGCAATTTCACGTTAGGGACATAATTCTTCACTTATTTTTTTTTTCACATGTCAGAATGAAACATTTTTAAAATGTTTCTTTCTACTGGGTAAAACTGCAAGATCTCCCTTGGCCTTATTTTTCACATTTGAGATATTTTTCAGATAAACATTTGTGGAACACACTTTTGAAAAAGAAAAAATGAGCAGAATCTTTACCATTTTGTATATATATGGTTCCATGCAAAGAGCATATTTTTGCTAATACTGATGATGATGAAAGCTGCTCTCATCCTTTTGCTTCCCTAGAGGACTGAATTCTTGATGATTTTTCTTACTCAAAATAAGAACAATTGTTATATCTCTGTCTCAAATCATCCTCTTTCCACCTAGTAGTATAATACAGATCCATAATATGACCCAGTGTTGAGCCAGCTATGCACTGAAGGAGTTCCTTAGTTTTTGTGGTGGCCAGAAGATCCAAAGCAGACCTCATCCAGATAGCCTTAACATGAAACTTGGAAATACAGAATCCTGGAACTTTCCAAGATCATCTCCAATATTATTTCAACCAGTTCAGAGGGAGATTTCTGGACACTGGAGTGGACAGTATACCAGCAGTGCAACTCTCTTGTCTCTTTGGTTCAACAGTAGATGTAGACCTCAACACTGATACCAAGGCAGATTGATCTTCTTGGGAATCCTTATGAATGACAGCAAGTCCTGCCTCTTCAGCCATCCAATTTATTTTGGTGACAGCCCGACATGCCTTGCATCTGGTATTATATCCTCCTCCTCCCAAGATTGCACCAAGAAGGTTTTTTTAAAATTTGCGGGTAATTTGTGGGAAAACACTGTCTTTCACTGATTCATCAGGACATTTGCTTTAGGTTAAGTACCACAGAAGAGAGTGCCACTTACATTTGATTAGTTATAATACTGGTAATAAGTCAGTTCATTAACACAGCCACAAATACCCCAAAAAGCTCAAGACTGATTCAAAACCTTCAGCTTGGTATTTGAATATAGCATGCCTACATTTTTACTCCTAAAAGTATTTTCCTAGGTACTTCGGGTTTAAAATTCATGTTGCCTAAAATGGCAGAGTTTGACATTATACTTTTAAACAGCTTCTGTTTCCTTGGAGAGCTATTTTTAACTAGGTGAGATATTTTTAACCAGGATGCTGACAAATAATTCTTCTCTCATTCTCATTCATCCTTCAGTGAAGGTAGGTGGAGAGTATCTATAGCCTCTGCAGGTTTGCTGGGAAACTTGCAGTACATTTTGACCATGTAACTAAGAGTTCTGTGTCTCTCCACAGCCCCCACCCCACTTTGCCTCAAACAAGGGCAAGCTGAAACATTCAACAACTGGCTACCTGCTAGTCATCAGTGCAGTGACCAAGTCAGAAGTGTACTGTATGTTCCTGATAGACACACCACACCCCTCATAGGCACACCCACTCACAGTGATGCCCTTTACAGTCATGATCCTTTCACAGATGATATAACAAAAAATGAGGTTTCATTCTCTTTCTTTCTTTGGAGTTCTGTTGAAAATGAATGTAGGACCGAGGATATGTCTTTCTGACATTCAGCAAGAAGACAATAGCTTCCATAAGTTCCAACCAATCAATGACAGTACTCGAAACATATATTCCAGCAGTCTCTTAAGAGTAGCAACCTGGACTTGTTGAGTGTTATTTTGGCTTCTTTTAGCATCTCTGTGGCCTCTGCTGCCACTGACAGAATGCATATTTGCATGCTACCAACCTCCCTGAGCAATCACAAGCCCAAAATTAATGCTACCTAGGCATGGTTTTCTTTGGAAGAAAGAGTACTTCCAGGATTAGCTAGAATGTAACACCATATATAGGAACAGGTGTAAATGTGAAAATACAGAGGAAAATATAATTTTGAAGAGTATATTCTGTCTAGAAAGAGCACTTCACTCCTCTCCACATACAACACAAATTACAGTATTAATAGTTATTAAGCAAAAGGATTATCCACAAATTCCAAATAGGCTTGGTTTTGCTTTTCCGCTTGGCCCCCCACACATGCTTTTTGATTAAAGTATCATATTTGAAAATAAAAACCATTTCAGAAATTCCTCGCCACATTACTCCCCACCTTACACAGAAAAAACAAAATAGTTCTAATAGCTGCCTTAATAAAGTGATCATCCAGAACTCCTGAACAGGTTTTTTCCCCCTCCTGCTCCCCAATTCTCTTTCTCCCTACCACCACTACCGCAGAATGATTACATTTAATAAACAAAAGTAACAGTTAGCTAGTAGAGCTGAGGACACACATGGAAATAAAGTTAATTTTTAAAAAAAGCTTTCCAGACCATGCACCAGATAAGCAGCTGCTTCCTTTCTGCCATGCATGTGCATGCACACATAGGCTCAAGCAAGAAGAGAGGATGCACAAACATCATTTTAATTCTCACAACATTAAACAGACTTTTCTAGCTCTACAGTCTCCTGCACTGTCATACAGAGGAGAATGGAAATCTTCCTGCAAATGTTGTATTGCCGTGTTGTACTTAACAAAGAAGGTTCTGAGGGAATCTGATGGAATACTGTTCAACCTGTGTTACCAACCATCTCTTGCCTTTGCTCAGATGAGTTCAGGTCACTGATGGAGGTACTCTTTATCGTAGGAAAGTCATGCTGCTGGATGCTAAGAGCAAAGCTCCCTTGCCATTTCGGTTATGAAGGAAATCAGAACTTTATTTGTTTCTAATCTGTTTTGAAAATCATGGAACCTCCACAAACGTGAAGGCAAATGATAACAGGTAGAGGAACAACAGCTGCAAAACATGACCTAAGATCAGGCCATGAGTACAATACTCTTGCTAGTGATATACTATACTTCATTTTTAGCCTTTCATGTAGTGCTTTTTAGCTCTGGAGTGCGAAGGGAATGTTTGGATGGATAATGGTCTATTTGCTCTGAAGCACAAGCCGCTACTCATTACTTCCACAGCTTCCCAGGATGCTCATTTATTTTTATGAACACAAGTGATGATACATGATGGATTGTTAGACTGAATCATATTTCTGAAACAAGTTTTTATAACTTTCTTATGTGCCGCTTGGAATTATCTTAATGTATTGCACAAAATAACTGAGGCCAAGCAATATTGGCCATTGCTGTCCAAGTAGTCTCTGAAGCTGGACATTTCAGGATTAATTAAAGGGATGAAACATTTGCACAGTGATGTTGTGTCTTATTATCTAAACCTTGGCTGTATTTCTGATGACCACTCATGATCATAGGGCTCCTTTATGAAGTCAGGGTTGGACCTTTCAATTGGGGATTTTATTGGATTGACTCTAAATAGGCATGTTTCATAATTTTTGCCATATTAGTTATGAATTATGATTGGTTACTCACCTCGAGTTATCTATTAGTGTGGCAGAACCAAACCTGTTTTTTAAGACTGCATCTTCTGCTTCCAAAGTAGCTTCTCCTTATTCCTCCAAGGATTCTAATGGATTTTCTAATATGTGTTTCTGCCGACAGTAGTGGTTCTTCTCTGTATCTATTCTGAAAGCTCATTTAGGATGTCATACACAAGGGCTAGGTCAAGGAGATATTGTTCAGAAGATGAATCAGTTATACAGGCAATTTGTTTGTGATTGATTTCTATCCTTCCTAGCAAAGTGGGAGTATAAGGAGTATAATACAGAGATTTCTCCCCCCCCCCAACTGCTCAGATGCCCTAAACAAAAGAATCCATCTGACATCCAAGAACTCAATCCTATTTATATGCTCATCCAAGTGTCCTGAACATTTTTGAGCTCTTTTTGATTCTGTGTTGTCCTGCTAGGTAACAGATAAAATTTGTCTGTGAGTACATGGGAATAACTCACCTCATGGACTTCTGAAATTGAACCACAACAGCTACTTCTGACTATGCATCAGATAAGCAATATAGTGATATGAGGACATATTCCAAGAAGGGGTTTTGCATCTTCTATAAATTGATACCTTTTTCACTTTTGTGGGTTTTAAAAATCTATTTTGTCATTGTGGCATCTCACTGCCTAAGCCATGGCCATCACATCTGGCCCAGTTTTTTTGGATTTACTACGCCAAATTTTATAACATCTTTGTGTGATGAAGAGTTCTGGAGGAATTGAAAGCTCACCTTATTTGTAACATTTTAGTGATCTAACAAAGTTGTTGCTTGATCCAGACATTAAAATATATTAATATTTCTTTCCCTGACGTAAACTACCTTTACCTGTCAACTGGGATGCAAGAGTGTGGTTGAGAGTAAGTTAAAGGACATATAAGGGGAAAAAACTGCTGGGATGCTAAAAACTGTTTCACCACCTACTCAACATGCACACTTTGGTTCTTCTCTACATCTGAGGTCACCCTGCTCCTCAGTGTCCTTTGTGTGCACTTCCCCCCCTAACAATAAGCATCCCTAGGAACAGGTCTCCATAAAAGGAGAGCATGCTCCCCTTTCATAATGATCAGTTGATAGGATGTTGGAGATGAGAGGGACCCAATTGAAACCCAGCTTCCTAAAAACCTCTGTGGCCCTGGAAACTGTACCTGTGCCCAAATATCTTCAGAAATGGCACCAGGGGCATTTCTGCTTAATGAACGAACTGATTTGGTTCCCAGTGATTTGGGTCAGAATAAGAAGATGGTTTTTCCTGCAAAGAATGTTGTTCTCCTCCCCATAGAGATTAATCAAAATACTCCTCATGAAGATACATGAAACAGCAGCAAACTGTTCCTTGACGCTTTGGTTCAAGCCTGATATATTCGTTCGTTCGTTCGTTTAGTCGTTTAGTCGTGTCCGACTCTTCGTGACCCCATGGACCAGAGCACGCCAGGCCCTCCTGTCTTCCACTGCCTCCCGGAGCTGGTCAGATTCATTTTGGTTGCTTCGGTGACACTGTCCAGCCATCTCATCCTCGGTCGTCCCCTTCTCCTCTTGCCTTCACACTTTCCCAACATCAAGGTCTTTTCCAGGGAGTCCTCTCTTCTCATGAGATGGCCAAAGTACTGGAGCCTCAGCTTCAGGATCTGTCCTTCCAGGGAGCACTCAGGGTTGATGTCCTTTAGAATTGATAGGTTTGTTCTCCTTGCAGACCAGGGGACTCTCAAGAGCCTCCTCCAGCACCGCAATTCAAAGGCATCAATTCTTCGGCGGTCAGCTTTCTTTATGGTCCAGCTCTCACTTCCATACATCACAACAGGAAAAACCATAGCTTTGACTATTCGGACTTTTGTTGGCAATGAGATGTCTCTGCTTTTTAAGATGCTGTCAAGGTTTGTCATTGCTTTCCTCCCAAGAAGAAGGCGTCTTTTAATTGCGTGGCTGCTGTCTCCATCTGCAGTGATTATGGAGCCCAAGAAGGTAAAATCTGTCACTGCCTCCATATCTTCCCCTTCTATTTCCCAGGAGGTGATGGGGCCAGTGGCCATGATCTTAGTTTTTTTGATGTTGAGTTTAAGACCGTTTTTTGCACTCCTCTTTCACCCTCATTACAAGGTTCTTTAGTTCCTCCTCACTTTCTGCCATCAGAGTGGTATCATCTGCATATCGGAGGTTCTTGATATTTCTTCCGGCAAGCTTGATTCCAGCTTGGGATTCCTCCAGTCCGGCCTTTCACATGATGTATTCTGCATATAAGTTAAATAAGCAGGGAGACAATATACAGCCTTGTCGTACTCCTTTCCCAATTTTGAACCAATCAGTTGTTCCATATCCAGTTCTAACTGTTGCTTCCTGTCCCACATATAGGTTTCTCAATAGATAGATAAGGTGGTCAGGCACTCCCATTTCTTTAAGAACTTGCCATAGTTTGCTGTGGTCCACACAGTCAAAGGCTTTTGCATAGTCAATGAATCAGAAGTAGATATTTTTCTGGGACTCTCTGGCTTTCTCCATGATTAGTCTGTACGTTGATGAGAAAGGCAGTCAACTTTTAAACTTAAAATCTGAGTTTACAGTTCATAACATAATGTGTGATACAACTTAATTGCCTTTGAACATAAATGCTGTCACACTAAGTGCAGATTTGGTCTCGGAAATGAGCAGGCATGAAGCTTAAATGTGGCATCCAATTATTTGAATAGTTATTGGAACATCATGTTTAATTAAATAATTTCATGGCATTGCATGATTCTCCTTGCATTCTAAAAAAAGTAATCACTCTCTTTGGAAAAGAGAGACACCTTGAGAAGGGTCAGCAAGATTCTTTCTCAAACAATTTTCACAGAGACAAATAGTTTAACCCTTTTGTCCTGAAATACTTATTGCACATACATTGTGAAATGGGATAACAAACATGTGTATCAACTGCATTATGTGTGCTTTGAAATGTGAGTGCTGTGCATATACATCTACACTCTCTAAACATATATGACTGGCCAGGAAATTTAGTGTGAATCAAGAGGATCTATATTTTGTATGTACCATGAGTTGCATTTTTTAAAATATGGGACTGTTGCCCATTGCATCTTCATAATTCTCTTTTTGAAAAGAAGAGTAGAATATCTAGCATATGTTATTGACACGTTCTGAATTCCATTTCCACCTACAGCTAAAAATATGAATAAATCTACCAATGCATTTTTACAGATGATGACTGTGATGATGGGAGTGATGAACAGGGCTGTGTTCATTCATGCTTTGACAATCAATTCAGATGTTCCAGCGGTAGGTGTATTCCAGAGCACTGGGCTTGTGATGGTGAAAATGACTGTGGAGACTTCAGTGATGAAAACAATCCAAATTGCACCAAGGAAGGTTAGTATTTCCTGTTGTTTTCCCCAGTTTTAATAGCTAAACATGGGATTGTGTATGTGCATATTCATTCATTCATTCATTCATTCATTCATTCATTCATACATACATTCATTCATACATACATACATACATACATACATACATACATACATACATACACCCCATCCAACAGACACACCTACATGCGGCACATACATATGACCTACCAAGCAGAAGCCACTCTCAGTAGTTTACAATCACATACATATGACCCATCCAGCCGAGGCCACTCTGGGTGGTTTACAATATATAAATGCCACCCAATACAATTTAATGTAAGAAAAAATGGTAATGATAAAATACAATCAGCAATAAAATTGAAGCATAAAAATACATCAAAAAAACCATTTAAATACATTCAAAGCATTAAAATATTTAAAACACTGTGCACTAAATCTGTGTGACATTGAACCAAATTATATGTTACTCTAATAATACAGGTAACAATTTACATCTTTCTCTCCCAGTTTTACTCTAAAACCAGTAGGTAAAGGTAAAGGTTCCCTTTGACAATTTTTTTTTGTCCAGTCGTGTTCGACTCTAGGGGACGGTGCTCATCCCCGTTTCCAAGCCATAGAGCCAGCGTTTTGTCTGAAGACAATCTTCCGTGGTCACATGGCCAGTGCGACTTAGACATGGAACGCTGTTACCTTCCCACCGAGGTGGTCCCTATTTATCTACTCGCATTTGCATGCTTTTGAACCGCTAGGTTAGCGGGAGCTGGGACAAGCGACGGGAGCTCACTCCAGTAGAGGGGCCCCTATTTGGAAGAGAACCAGACTTTTTAATACTACCACTCCAACTGAAGTCCTGTTCTAGATCAGAGGGAGGGTCTTCTTTGCCTACATTTTACATTGACCAAAAATTACCAGTTTATTTTAACAGATCATTTTTTATGTTCACCTAGGCCAGTGACGGTGAACCTTTTTGGGCCTGAGTGCCCAAACTGGGGAAAAAGAAAAAACAAACCACCAGTGGGTGGCAGCAGCGGCAGAGCTGGAAGTGGCGGTGGGAGGGGGAATCCAGGGCACAGAGGTGCCTCGAGACCCCACCCCAGATCCACCACCAGCACCAGCAGATCCTGGCCCGCCACCTGTTGGAGTGCCAGCACCGTGACTGCAGCCTCCTCCTCACGTTTGACTGCGGGGGGGGGGGGGTAGCTATCCAGTGATTTATGGCTTGCGTGCCCGTAGAGAGGGCTCTGCCTGCCAGCTGTGGTATGCATGCCATAGGTTTGTCATTGCTGACCTAGGCCTTTTAAATATATCATTAATTATGTCTTCATTGGTTTAAAAACCTCTGTTATAAATTTCAGGGCATTCTAAGTCAAATTTTGTCAACATAATTTGCATTCCTCTTGAATTTATGGTTTCATGTTTATTATGTTTATTTAAATTGTTTGTTTATTATGGGCTAAATCCTTGATCATGTGAATCAATCTGACATATGTCTATTAACAGAAGTAGTCTCATTGAGTCAATGGGACTAGCAACTGTATTTAAATTCTTATGGTACAGATAGCAGACCAAAGTCATAAATGCATTTATAAAGACAATAGATGTAGTTAAGCCTTTGAATTGGGCCTAACAGGTGATTCACAGGCAGAATCTTTTCTGAATCAAGTCTGATGTGCATAAAAGGTTGTTGGATCCTTAGGTCTACAATTGTGCACATTATGTTCTTGCTGGGTTCCCCATGTTCAGATGCATAGAGTATATTTTATTCTTGCCAATTGTGAAGGAAGTCTGGGTGATCATATTTTAGAAAAAAGTAGCAATGCTAAACTAAGTCCTCTGCATTTTCAAAAGTACAAGGGCCAACCTGAATTTTTTTTATAGATGTGTGTTTTATTACCATGGTATGTTTAGGTTGGAGAATGTAGAAACTTTTATTTAATAGAAAAAGGAACTGAGAAAATTATGATTTATTTGGGAAAAAATTAGCCTGTGCATTCTATTCATCTCAATATAACAGTGGTTATCAATTTTGGATCCCCAAAGTTCTTGGACTAAAACTCCTAAAAGCCTTCACCACCGCTTCTGCTGGCCAGGATTTCTGGGAGTTGTAGTCCAAGAACCTCTGGGGACTTAAGGCTGGGAACCACTGTGCTATAAAGAAAAATAAAAAGAGATACTGTATATACAGCGGTAGGATTGCTGAAATGTGCCTCAAAGTAGTATCATAACATAACAGTATACAACATCAAAAAGAGCTGGGAGCAATTACATTGGCAAACCTTTAGCACAACCTAAATTAACGATACTTTTTTTTCCTAAAATAAACACTGGTGCCTTTGTGGTTTTTGGTCTTTGAACAAAATGAAGAGAAAAGTTGCTTCAATGCAACACTTTTCTGATCTGCTCAGGACTAAGAGACTCATTAAAAGAAAATAGTTACTGTATTGGAAGGGATATTCTCAAATTTAAACAAAGCATAAGCTTGTGTAGTTCTCACAAACTGTTATTCCTCCTGTCTATCAAAGATTAAATAGGGTTTGAAGCTGGTGCAAAACTTTTCTGACTATTGAACAATTCATTTTCTTGAGTAGAAGCTATTAATGAAAATCTTCCCCTATGGTACTAGCAATCTTTGGAAATAGAAGACTTTCTCCTGTCATCCCACAGCTCCCATTTCTCTACTTCATAAAATGGAACAGGATTTCAGCCAGTGTTTTATTATAAAAGCTGACAGGATAGCTCACTCAGTTAGATATCTTGCTATGAAGTCAGAAGCTGGAAATTCAGTTCCTCTGTGTGATTCCTCAGAGAAGAGCTAGTCTATGTAGAGTTGTGGGCAAGCTGCATAGTTTCAGAAACACCCCCCCCCCAGAAAAAAAGAAAAAATTCTAAACCACTTCAGTTTTGTACCTAGAAAACCCTGAAAAGGGTCTCCATAAGTCAAAATGGTCTTGAAGGTGCTTAACTTATTTTATATTTTAAAACACACATTCGTTTAGTCGTGTCCGACTCTTCGTGAAGGTACTTAACTTATTTTTTATTTTAAAACACAAAGGAATAAAAAGATTCCTACGTATATAATCATAAGCCTTTATATTTTTCCTGTAATTGAAACATTTTATGTTTCTTATATATAGATACAAAACAAATAAAAACTAGTTCACTCTTTATTTCAAAGCCAGTTCTCAAAACAGTCCACACACATTCTCACTTCCTCACAGCTTAACCTTTTCCGTTCTGACTCTCAGGGCTCGAGGCCACTGACAATGAACTCTGTGTTCTCCTGGAGGGAAAAGACACAAATTTAAGTGTACACCCAAGGCACTCTACTGCCAGGGAAGTGAGCTTTTCTGCTCCCCTGCCAGAGGTCCATTTGTTTTGAGTCAGATTCCAACAAATTGATTCTGCATGTGCGAATGCTCCAGCTCTGCAACCCTCACCTCTTGCCCCTCTTCCCCGTTCTACCCCTTCTTTCCCTTTCTACTCCATTCATGATTTCAACGTGGGATCCTCACCAAAACATCATCAAATCATAGATTCCCTCTATGCCCACAGACTACCAATCCAAGGCCAGCCTGGTACCTATATTTTTATGATTTAGGCTAATCCTATGAAATTCATGGGGATCCACAGGGACCCATATTTTGTGATTTGGGCTAATCCTATATATACTGTCATTGATGGAGGCTCTAGCTGACCAGCCCATCCCTTCCCTCTGATTCTTGCTTGCCCAGAAGAATAACCGGGGGGGGGGAGGGGACTGTGTTGTCAGTCAGCAGCTGCCCTTTAGGTAGAGGGAAGTCATTCCTCCTGGGCATTGACCTAGACTCCGTACACTTCCTCTTCCTCTGTCGACCAGTAGCCGCTTGGGGCCCTCTTTTCCCTCCCTCTTATCTGGCTTGTTGCTGCCTTGGGCAGGTCTTCCTTGTTAAGTTGCTTCACCTTCCCTAGCTGTCTTCCCTCCCTCTTTTCTTGTGCTTTAGCCTTTCCCCTTAGTTGAGTTCTTCCAGCCATTCTGAAGGAGCCTGCCAACCCTCCATGAGCATGCTGGCTACCTGGCAAACTCACCCCTCACAGGGATCTATGGGAACCCATGTCTGGGACCCGTGTTTTTGTGAGTTGGGATAATCTAACATATAAAAATCATTGGGATTCATGCCTTAAGTCATGTCCACACGACATAAGCATGAATTAAAAAAATATATAGTCACTTTGTCAGTTTATTCCACAGTGGAAACAGGCTCTCAGCCTCAGTAATTAACTATTTCTGACTAAAGTCCATCTGACTGACTTGTTCACATGCACATCTTTATATACAAATTAGACTCTCTCCACGCAAACACCATATGAGTCAATTAGTTTGCAGTTCCATTTGCAAACCTCCTTTTGCACTTTTTAACTGTCCTAAGTTGTCACTCCTGCCACTCATCCTGCATACAGTTATCAATCAACCCAAGTCACTTACCATGGAAGAAAATACAAACTTGTACATAGAACACATTTATTGTGAAAACTTGTCATATTGTAATTTGTAATTGTCAGTCGTAAGCATGACAGAAGAAAAAGTAGGAATGAGTACAAGACCTTGATTGAAAATATAATGAAAATTATTTCTGTGACAGAAGTACGAGAGGTGGGTTCTTTGGCTCAAGTTCTCCATTGTGTTTTGACACTAAAAACATGGGTGGCATATGTTCTAAGGAGGAGGGGCAACTCAGCCTGAAATTTTGAGGTGAATCACCCCTAAATGGAGTTGATTGCAGAAGCCAGAATCGATTTTATAACTATCCCCATTTATTGAAAGGAAGGTAATAAAAACACAAACTTTTGCTGATTTGCGAGACAGATGAGGTAATAATAGTAATCTAATACAGTCTCTGCTAACCTCTCTGTCACTTTAATTACCTTAATTACCTTGGCATTGAGCAAAGAAAAGACCTGCACATCAGACATTGTGTAACCAGTCAATTCAGCATTCTGAAAACCATTTCTGATAATGGGGCAATTCAAACAAAAAGTATAACTTTTCTACAAAATCTTGAATTAAGTCTACCGTATATATGGCAGACTACTAGCAGAGACAGTATGAGCTTGCTCTGTGTGAAATGTGGGTAGGTTCAGATGAATATTTCAGATTTCTCATTTTGGATTTTTTAAATGGGTTACCTCCACCTTTTAACTCATTTTGCTACTTTTGTTGTGCATGTGGCAATGGTTTAGTTATTTTTCAAATGCCCACCCCTACTTCCTCAAAAGAAAATGTTTCCCACTATGGGCTTTTTAAAATTAGAAATTTATCCTTCCTGTTCAGAAGACAAAGGACCTTAAAATACAAAGGGAATCCTACATAAACACTGTTTGCTTGTGGTTATTGAAGTATTCCATAGCATTTTCTCAATCTTCTTGCCAATACCATATTCTTAAGTCTCATTGAGGTAAACGGGACTTCTGAGCAAGACAGTAAATTAGAACTGTAGCCTTACCCCAGGAATAAGTACCATTGAAGAAAGAGAATGAGAGAGAGAGAGAGGAATAACAGACACACACACAGAAAGCAAACACACACAGACAGAGAGATGGGGGAACCATGGGGGAGAGAATGAAAGAGAAAAGCCCCCAGATGGAGAGGAGAACCTAAGAGAAGAGAGGAGCCACAGAGTCAGAGGAGTTAGAGGGTGAGACCAATAAAACTCAGTAGGGAGAGAGAGGGGATCAAGCAAACTTACCAGAACTCAGCCAAGGACATTGCTTTGTTTTGGAATGAGCAGTGGTTAATGGGTAAAAAAAGGATGTTTACTGCTGGGATATTTCCTGGCTTGGTGTCTGCATGCAAATATTAGAGAGAAGAGGAGATTCTGCTGCACATCTTGACTGCTGATACTGGTTCACCAACCTTCAGGCTAGCCTTTGGTGCATAAACTTTGGTATCCTTTTTCCTACTGGCACTGCAGGCATTACAGTATATTGCAAGACAATGTTGACCACTTCCTGGGACTTTGAATAGTGAATACAGAGGCAGTATGCCACATTCATAAACTGGCTTTTCTTTTTAAAAAGATGCAATTATTTACTAGCTTCAATCATTACTCATTTTTATAGCCAGAGAAGCTACCCCTGTATCTTAAATACAATCAGTAAGACACACAGTAGTTTCTGCTTGTAAATTCCCATCTAACTGATGTGACAAAAGAAGGCTGGGAAGGGTTAAAAAGTAAAACCAGATAGTAACTTTACATCGGCTGTGACTATATTGGCCCATTTTAAGGGAGCTGGTGCATTCTAAATAAGGTCACCCAAGGTTAGGGGCGGAGCAAAATGCCATTTGGTGTGATCCTCACATCCAAACAACATACTGACCTCAAGCGACCCTATTTATTCTTTCTGCTGCCAGTTTCTGGTATTATTAAGTGGCTTAATAAGCGAGCCACTTCAGGACATTGGCAAATTGAACATTTTCCCAGATCCTGTGCAGAGGACCAAGGGAAGTTTTCTTTTTACCTCTGCTAGACCATTGTAGATGCAATGAATCACTCAGATCGTATTTAAAAAATATTTTCTTTGCCTTGTATGTAGTACCAATGGAGAAACTTCCTGAAGCCCTGGCACTTCACACAAAGGGAAAGAACACTTTTAAAATTTAATTTAAATGATTCAGCACATCAGCAATGGTCTAACAGAGGTTAAAAAATAGTAATTTCAGTATTATTATTCTTAATAATTATTATTTATTAAGTCATTTCATGATACCAGTAATTGACAGTAGAAGGAGCCTTGGCAACTTTGATAGCTCCAAGGCTTGATTTTGGTCTGTTCCCAGCAATCACACATGCTGAAAACGGACTAAACTAGAGCACAGTATGTGTGTTCTGTGTTGTCAAGTCAGAACCAATTTATAGTGACCCTAATAGGGCTTTCAAGGTAAGCGAGATATTTAAGGAGTGGTTTTTATCAGTTCCACTTCCCTGGTCAGTTTTCATGACCAAGTGGGGATTCTAACTCTGTAGAAGCTCCTAACAGGGGCTCAAAAATGTGCAGGTAGGGATACTCAGGGGGCGGATTGATTTACTCTCATGATCAGATCATCTGATTGCTGGAAATAAGAGAGAACCAACTCACTCTCGTAGTGCACCAAACAGCAAGACAAATGCCTGTCTGATTGAGCCCATAGTTATAAAGTTTACTTTCAATGTGGCAACATTTTCAGGAATTTAACTTCGACAGGCTAATGGCATGGGTTCTGCTCCCCCTTTTCCCTCCACTCATCCAGGTGAAATGACTGGTGCTAGCTGATAGTACTTTGAGCAAAATAATGTAATGGAGCTGGTATTTTAGTAGAATTGAATTAGGGACGTGGTGGCGCTGCGGGCTAAGCCGCAGAAGCCTGTGCTGCAGGGTCAGAAGACCAAGCAGTCGTAAGATTGAATCCATGCGACGGAGTGAGCGCCCATCGCTTGTCCCAACTCCCGCCAACCTAGCGGTTCGAAAGCATGCAAATGCAAGTAGATAAATAGGGACCACTTTGGTGGGAAGGTAACAGCGTTCCGTGTCTAAGTCGCACTGGCCATGTGACCACGGAAGATTGTCTTTGGACAAAACGCTGGCTCCATGGCTTGGAAACGGGGATGAGCACCGCCCCCTAGAGTCGAACACGACTGGACAAAAAAAAAAATGTCAAGGGGAACCTTTACCTTTACCTCTTGCCACCTGCTCATCCTTTGATTACCTTTGTATGGCTGAATTGTAAGCTGTCTTGGCAGGACTTGGCAAGCTATTGCCGCCCCCCCCATTCAAATTGCATTGAAGGTTGGCACACACTGTTTCCTAATTTGATCTGAGACCTGAAGTCTCCAAGAGGGGAAAGCCAAGCCTCTGAATTCAAATAGACATTTGACAAATATAAAAGGTCTTGATCTGTGAAAGGTGTGTTGTTGCAGTTGCCTTTGTTATTATACCTATAACAATGAGAACAATAACCTATTTCGTGCTCGACTTCATACCTTGGAGTTGGATATAAGCACAGCATAACACCTGATCCCTTACTAGCCAACTAACAATTCCATCTCCGTAGAAAAGTTTCAGGCTGGTACACTTGTCATCAATTGTGTCATTCATACTTTCCCTACTGGTTTATTAAAATACAGCATTGCTGTACTTAGCAAAGGGGGAACATTTTAGTTGCCCAGTTTCCACAAGGCAGGAAATTTGGCACTCCATTAGTGTTCATAGAGAAATATTAACTATTGGAAACATGCCGAACATGAGGAACAAGATGCTGAAATTCTGCATTGTGGAATAGATTTTAGACCTTAGATGGAAATGGTTTTTATTACCTTTGAGAACATTTATGTTTAACTGCAGTTCTATAGCTATAGCAGGATGGGAAGAGATTTTTTGATAGAGGGTATGGTTCAAAGTAGCATCTCTATGACTTTCATGTGATGCTGAATAGAAATCAGTATTATGGAAGTGGGAAATAACTCATCAGAGATTCCCTCGGTCTCAACCAATCTCTTATTAAAATTATGTTTCTGTCAGAAACAGCCTCTCTTGGAGGATGCCACGGGGAAGATTTTCAATGCCACCCGGATGGAAACTGTATTCCAGAGATCTGGCGCTGTGATGGAGAAAAAGATTGCGAAGACGGCAGTGATGAAAAGTACTGTAATGGAACTATACGCCCATGTGATGATAAAACCAAATTTTCCTGCAAGAACACAGGTATTGAAAATAATGTTTTAAAAACAATGTATTACTGCATGAATTCCAGCAGTGTCTCTCTCTTAAGAAACTGTGACCAGGAGCCAAAGAGTAGGAAGGTGAGAGATATAATTCTTTCTCTGTCTGCTCTTGTTCTGTAGCCCCTTTTCCTCCTGCAAGCTTTTATTATCTCAGGCCTCCAGGAGGTGCTCACTCTTCTACTCGGTTGCTGCCACCAATATTTCAGTTTCAATACTACTTATTCAGTGAGACATGTGTTGCTTTAAAACTTAAACTTGTTTATTTGATCAATAATATATAATAGGTAAATCACAAGATGCTAATCAATCTCTCTCACTCACTGAACACACTGACACACAGCACCCTACTCTCACTGACTTTCTGGCTCACTCTCTCACAGACCCACAAAATCTCTCCCCTCATACTCAATACACTCCCCTTTATATCCCAGCCCCTCCCCCTTTAACACCACCTTCCATTCCCTCATTCGCTGCTTTTCCACTGCTCAGCTGTGACGGACAGGTGAGGGCAGGGCTGAACGCTACAGCTTTCCCCACAACTTGGACAATGTAAACTGGAACTGCTAAATCTAACTGGAAATTCATAGCCAAGTGTTAAGGTGTTTTTGTCTTTTACCATTATTCCCCCCTCCAGGGACACAAATCTTCCAAAGTTGTGTGTCCAAGTGGAGATCATCTTGTTTTTTTGTTCTTGTTGTTTTGGCAGGGAGAGGCTGATTGAGCTGCTACCTGATTCTGCCTTGCTTGGTAGATTTAGCTTCAACTATAATGTTTTGCTTAAAATTGAATCTTGGTTTTTCTTTTTCTCGGAATATTCATATCTGTCCTTCTCTGTGTGTGGTTTTTTTTTAATTGTTTACATGTAGTATTCAGGAAGAGATAAGGTTAGGGTTTAGTTGCTTCTGTATGTGTGCCTACCACTTGGTGGCCAGTATTCTATTGTATTATGTTGCCGTGAAAGAAGTACTGTATTCCCCAAGGCCTGGTAGACTTCGCATCGTGTGCATTGTCTTGCACTGGTTATAAGATTGGTTGCGTGAAAGGTGTCTCCTAAAGCAGGCAAAAAGGCTAAGTGGAAGAGTAACTAAAACAAGAAGTATTTGTATAGTATCTGCTAATATCTAGGACGATCTTTCCATATGGAGTATCTATTGCTCTCCAGATGTCATAGGATACATTTTTTGTGTTGTTTTGTGAATTATAATGACTTTAAGTTTACAGCAGTATTTGAGTCTTGAATATTAGTGATTAGTAATATAGAAACCTTTGGGTAGAGTGGGCGGCATATGTTAGATAGATAGATAGATAGATAGATAGATTTAGATAGATAGGATAGATAGATAGATAGATAGATAGATAGATAGATAGATAGATAGATAGATAGATAGATAGATAGATAGATAGATAGATAGATAGATAGATAGATAGATAGATAGATAGATAGATAGTTGTAAAATGAATGTAGCAAAATAAATGATACAGGACAAACATTTCTGCATTAATTATATAGATAGATAGATAGATAGATAGATAGTCGTAAAATGAATGTAGCAACATAAATGATACAGGACAAACATTTCAATTATATATCAGAATAAGGATATCACTTCATCAAAACAAAAAAGTACAACTGCACTGTGGCGGATGGACCAAATTATGCATTTCCCCTCAGCACGTTGCAGTAGCTTATCTGCTTTGTTTGTATTCTTGCTGTTCTTCACTCTGTCCATGATTGTGAACTTTCAGAAATGTCTGGAACCTGGGAAATAAATGAGAAATAAATGGAAATTCAACAAGAAGGGAGTAAAGGTTGTTTGAGAGGTCAACACAGAACAGGCCTAGCTGGCCTAGCTCAGAGATATCCCCTCTACAGAGGCTTCCCCATTGCTATAGAATTTCCATTGTTGTGAGGAGGAGAACCATAAAAATATATGTAGGATATCAACATGAATGGCATTAGACTCTGAGTAATATGTCTTCTTAGGGAGAAAAGGAAAGACTGGCACCCATAAAGCAAAATTGGAAATAAACTATACACTTAACTGAACATTTTTGTGCTACTCTTTGTTCCTGACAGTCCAAATGGATCCACAGAGGCAGAAGGTATCTGTCTGAGGCACTGATTAGTTTATGTGGCAGGAATTTTTAAGAGAAAACAGCATATTCCACAATGTCACTAAAGCTAGTTAGTAAGACTGCAGACTGTGCATTCATTGCTGATAAATCACAATACTGTTTCAAGGAATTTTCAGCATTTGATCTGAGAAAGCAAAATTAAGTTGCCCCCTTTTTTGTAGCAAAAAGTGTATACAGGTTTAAGGGTGTTGGCTTGAAGACCAGGAAGACCTTTTATTAAGATATTTCTGAGCTGAAATTATGAGCCAGAGATAGAAGAAGGGAATTGGGGTGATGCAGTAGAGAAACCAGGGAAGGAGTCCTACCTGGCAGAAGTGGAAACCCCTAGAATAGAACTGAACCGCAAGTGGATTGGGAGTAAGTCCAGAAGGAAGAACCTTGGACAGGGGTGGAAGTCTTCCCTGTTGTGGAATTTCTCTGCAGCCTTGCTAGCAATTTCTAGCTGCTTCCTTTCTCCATTTGGCTTGTGTGGATCTGCTGGGATTGTGGGGACAGCCTCCAGGATGGTCGTGGGCTATCGTTCATTAAGCAGAAGTCAGACAGCAACTTTCAGAGGTACTTTAGTGGTGTATTTCTTCCTTCAGCAGGAAGTTGGACTTGATAACTTTCAGGTTCCCTGCCAGCTCTAGAGTTCTATGAATCTATGACTCAAGAATCAGGTTAAGTCTGATTTTCTGCTAAATTTCTTCTGTGTCATCTCTATTGAATAGAGGGGTGATAATGTCCAAATACTGAGGCCTTAAGGAAACATCCCTTTTCTCCTTGCAACTATTTTCCCTCAGTTGAAGTGAACTCAAGAGTTCTAATGTTTGCAATAAGAAAACTGTGTCAAGTTGAAATCTTCTTGTTCACAGAGAACTATTGAACTCCAAGTGTAGATTTGCGCTGCACCCTTCATCTCTGGGGAGTTTTTCTAGTACTGTACAGTACTTACCTATTGATTCTGCAGGGGATTTCTACATCCCCTTACGAAAACAACTACAGACACAGAAACTGTGCTTTTGCTTTTAGTGAGTGATCCAGGAACGACCAAAAGTCAAATACTAACCAGAAGAACAAATGTTTAGGGAGTGGGAAAAGTATCATTAAATGAATCTAAAGCTCTCAAGCCTGTATGATATGTGATAGCTTATTGAAAAGAGAGTTGCTATGAAGAAGTTAAGAACTTTAGGAGATTATTTACTCTGATAATTAATATAGTGTTTAGGCTTGAAAGTGAGTAAGTATATGGTGATAATACAGAAATGTTTGGTTGGATTTCTGAAGTACAATCAGAAATTTGCAGTTGGGAAGAGTAATGCTGTAGGAATACTGTATAATCTAGCTGCAGAATTAAGTTCAGTATTACAAGAAAATGTAACAACACTAGTGATAGAATCATAGTAGTTAGGTGGACATGTCAGGAAGACTATTAAACTCCCTCCAAAACCTTGAAGGACAGAAGACATCATAGCTGGCTGTAACAAAAGCATATTCAGTTATTGATGGCAACATTCTGTATTAAACTTGTATTATTGAAAGCATATTCAGTTATTGATGGCAAACAAGTAGATGTAGGACTTAGATCTTAATATTCTAGAGATAAAGAGGCAGCCTAAATTTTATTAAAAGGTGCAGGTTGGGATGCCTTAAGAGCAAATTGGTCCATTTTAGTAATTGCATTCTGTAGTTCCTGGGGCAGGGGGAAGGGCAGAACAATCATCCAAAATTCATCAAATAGCAAGACAAATGCCCATCTGAACAAGCTCATAGTGGCATTCCCAATTAGCTATTCTCAGTAAGGAACACTGCACCACCATGGTACACATCAACACACTTTTCTGCAGGATACTTTTCTGTAGGAAAAGAAATGTTGTAATTGTATATAGATCTCCAGATGTCATAGGATACATTTCAGATGGACAGCCATAGTTCCCTTCAGAAGGACATGTTATGATATGGGGGATGTCTACATTGGCTCTTCTTTACTAAATAAAATTAGTAATTCAGAAGGCTACAATGATTTGGAATAGGTCAAGCATATTAACTCATAATATTTATCTTCACCTTCATTAATATTTTAGTTTTTTATTTCATTTAAAAAAAGCTGTGATGCCTGTGAAAAGAAGAACTTCTCCATATTTGGACAATTCATTAAGGTTAATAGGATTATTTCGTGGATCAGATAGCTACAACTCAACGCTTGCCGATACCTTTATCGCCATGGTCAAATAAAACAATTCAAGGCTGCTTGGTTTTGTGATACTGTTTTATCTTTAAAGGTTTTGGCTGAAATCCTGTTGTTTAGCACGAAAAGTCATCATTGGATAAGGCCCTTTGAATCAGTGGGGATTTGGTGAGTCAACTTTTCCATGAATTCCATTGATTCAAATGGGCCTACTCTACTTGTGACTTACTGTGCTAAACTGTTTAAAATGTAGTGAAGTTTTAGTTGACAGGTTTGTTGTATACTAAGGGCATTCACTTTTTCTTATTCATATGAATGTGGTTTTTCTTCTGTTGTGGTAATTGTCTTTTTTCTGAGTTTTTGAACAAATTCTGTAAACACAGGCTTACATAGGTAATAAGAAACCCTATTGGTTTACTCTTGGGGCTTGTTTGCCACTTCCTCTCCACTGCAGCCTTCACTGCCCCTTCCAAAGGGGGGAAAAAGCACATTCAGATGGGCTGTGGTATGGTGTACTACAAATGAATAACAGAGTTTGGTGGGGGATCATGCCCCTTCCATTATGTAAGGACAAAAGATTTTTCCTATTGATTCCAGCAATGTTAATTCTCAGTTGCTAAAATTTGATAAATGGACAACATCTTCTTGTTTGCTACAAAAATTGTGTAATTTTTGCATGCAAATTGCCCTATGTGAAGAAATCATTGTAGACATCACTTGTATGCTGAGTCCTAATATTCAGCATGCAACAGACAATATATATGGTGATTTCACCTCAGAAGATACACTGTTTGTGTTATATGCCAGTGTAACTAAGCAAGAGGATTTGTACCATTGTCTTATCTCTCATAAATGTAATTCATATTTGTGTTAAAAACATGAAATACTTTGCAATCTTCCGTTTTTTCCATTATTCCCCCCGAATTGCTTTCTTGGAAGCCACATAACAAATGACTGCTAGTCCCTTTCTAAACTGAGTTGCACAACAAATTCTCTTCTTCAGTTCTATTTGAGTCTCCAGGAAACAACAGTATGTATGTACAGTATATGAGTCTGTGTGTTCGTCCATAACGAAAAGGAGGGAAAGGATCAAACTTTGCATTGAAATATTGCACAAGCATATACATTCTGTACATTCCTATTAGACTGTTAAAATTAAGGTTTCTTTCTTAACACTTTTATTCCTTAGTTTTTTACATTTGACATTTGGACAGGCAATACTTTCAATTTTAAAGCAAAGTTCTTCTAGACATTTTTCTTCTTCGTTTATTTCAGTATTATTAACAAAATAATGTATTTTGGAGGTTATTTTTGATTTTGATTTTGTTCTTACTCTCTGTGTTTTTTTTTCTTCAAGGGAGATGCATTAGTAAAGCATGGCTGTGTGATGGTGACATTGATTGTGAAGATCAGTCTGATGAGGATAATTGTGAAGGATATATGTGTGGACCACCAAAATATCCTTGTGCTAATGATACAGCCATCTGTTTGCAGCCTGAGAAACTCTGCAATGGCATAAGAGATTGTCCTGATGGATCTGATGAAGATGTTCTTTGTGGTATTTCATGCTTCATTGTATTTATATCTATAAAGGAAAATATATTCTCCTTATCTGAGTCATCCTGGATATGTGCATTTTGCCTTTAAAAGATTTGTACTGTCAAAGCTATTCATTTCCCCTAACTTTTCATTATCATGCCCTCAGTATGGTTGAAACAAGACAAAATGTCCCTAAAATGAATTCACTTCTTTAAAAAAAGCCCCAGTTTATGAATGTTAGTTATTGTACTTCTGTATCCATGATACAGAAATACCAAATATACCAAAATGCCACTACCACTGACAAGGTGACTCTAAGCAAGGGAAAATCCCAGAAGCTGACTCCCTTTTTCATCAATTAACCACTTCTTATGCAAACACAAAAAACTGCCAAGGCTAGGAAGAGGGTGGGCAATAGAAAGAGAGAACAACCTAATATTGATATGTTTGCTTGCAAGAGCTGATGAGAGTTTTTAATGACAGAATATTTTAGAGATCATTAATTCATATAGTCACCAGATATCAGAAATTACATATAACACCTTTGGAGTTTTTTCTTAATTATGGTATAGCATGATATAGGCAACAAAACTCTGCTAAAATTGAGTAAGAGTATCCCCAGCCACGTGGGACATGGTGGCACTGTGGGCTAAACTGCAGAAGCCTCTGCTGCAGGGTCAGAAGACCAGCAGTCATAAAATCGAATCCATGCGACGGAGTGAGCTCCCGCCGCTTTGTCCCAGCTCATTGCCAACCTAGCAGTTCGAAAGTATGCAAATGTTAGTAGATAAATAGGTACCACCTCGGTGGGAAGATAAAAGGGCGTTCCCTAGTCATGCTGGCCACGTGACAATGGAAACTGCCTTCGGACAAGCGCTGGCTCTACAGCTTGAAAATGGGATGAGCACCGCCCCCTAGAGTCAGACACGACTGGACAAAAAATGTGAAGGGGAACCTTTACCTTTTACCTTATCCCCAGCCACAAAGTAAAAAACAGTAATTTCACAGCTTAAACAAGTAAGCATCTGAATATTTGTTCTCTATATAAAAGAAAAAAAATCTTCTAAAATATTTTCACAACCAGACACAGAATCACTTTTGCAGTACCAATGCCTGTTTGGCCATGAAGGATTTAAAAAGTTCTCCTCCTGATAGTCAACTAATTGGGTCTTTTGACTGAAAGAGTCAGAAGTTCAGATTTCCCCAGACCTAGAGCTGTTTTCTCTTTGAAGACTGGTGTCAGGAGCCTGTTCTCTGAAATCCTGAGAGAATGTTTACTGAAAGCATTCAGGACTGGGACAAGCATGTCTGTTTTGTATTTTGGTAATGCAGAAATATAGAGAATGTGCCTTACAAAATTATATGCCAAGTCCCTACAGATACATGTTAACATGCCCTCCTTTCTGGATGATGATCACTTTATTGTTTTCCTTAAAGCAAGCCCATGTTTTAACTATTTCCATAGTACCGTAGATTGTTTCCAAAAAATTTAAAAAAGCAAGTGGGTCCAACCATTCTTTTGCAAGATAAGCAAGATCTTTTCAATTTATATGAGCTGTTTTATATCTGAAGATGTTTAGGGTCACCTATATTGGAACTAGGGGTAATTTTTTTTTAAAAAAATCATACCTGAAAACCTTTCCCCAAATTTCCCCAAATCTGGTACAGAGCAAGAGCAGACTGTCAGCTACATGTGTGCCAAATTTGCTGCTGATCTGAAGCCCTATTTCACCATTATAATTTTTTTTTGTTAGGATAGCCCCCTGTGATAGTGCTCCTTGCATGTCCTTAGATTATTTCACTAACCTAAGTCCCACACCACGTTCTCTTTTACACTGCTACCAGTTGATCTCTGTCACCATTATTTACTTCAAAAGATTGAGGTCCATACTGCGTGTAACTTTCAACAAAAACAGGTTTATTGGATACAGTTCACATAAGTAGGTTCTTCAAAGACTTTAAAGTATTCAGTAGTTTGTAATAACTTATCCCACACTTAACTCTCTTTAAGTTCCACACTCTCAACTGTCTCCCTTAACTGACTTCTCACTTCAGACTACTGTATCTAACTCACTAACTGCTCTTATCTGCCTCACCCCTCCTTTCTAGTTCCTCTGGCCCCGCCTCCCTACAACTCCCATTGGTGCATGCAAATACCCTCATACATATGCAAGAACAGGGTGATCACTACACCCTCATTTTAGAATTGGCTTGTAGAATGTTGATTTGATCTGCTGCACAGTAACATAGCTGCATTGCCATACAGCTATAATAACAGTGAGCTGCATGATTTTCTTTTTTCTTGTGCTGGGTGATTGTCATGTGTTCTGTGCTCTGATTCAGTACCATTGTCCACATTCTTTATGTGGTGCACATGCATATTGCATGAAGTGGGTCAAAATAATGGAAACAAGCTCTAGCTCTCTAATTTATACAAATCAATGAGATCATTGTATCGTTCTCACATGTAAAGGCTGTGTTAGGGACTATTCTTCTACAGTGTTGTATGATGATGTTGTACTTGGTCCTATCCACATTAATTTCTGTTTGTCCATCTCATAGGGCAGAACTTTTAAGTTTCCCCTAGATATCAATAGAACCCCTCATTTTTAAAATTACGCTAAACAAACACTAACAAATCATATTGCAGACTAATTTGTAAGGAGCCTTATGTGTTAATTTTAAATAACATTATCCTCCTGAGTTCTACTCAAAGTCTACTAGTCTTTTTAAGTGTTTCCCTTCTTATCTGATAAGTTGTAGTGAATGTCTGAGAAACACCTGTTTCTGTGGGTTTTTTCTCCCACAGATGAATGTTCCCTTAACAATGGTGGCTGCAGTCATCAGTGTTCAGTAGTTCCTGGAGGCAGAATAGTTTGTTCCTGCTCCCCAGGACTATATTTGAGTTCAGATAATAAAACCTGTGAATTTGTAGATTACTGCACCAAACATCAGAAGTGCAGCCAAGTGTGTGAACAGCACAAAAATACCGTTAAGTGCTCCTGTTACGAAGGCTGGAAGCTCAATAAAGATGGCGAAAGCTGTGCTAATATTGGTAAGTTGACATTTACCACCTATTCACGACTGGCGAGCTCTTATGAAAATATAAAGGAAGCAAAATAAGACCCATTTGCTTTGGCGAAGCAGTATGAGTCCTAACTTGTTTTCTCATTAACCCTCATAGAACACACTTTGTTTCAACTGTTTTGGAAGTTTATTTTGTAGTTGTTGTACAATTCAGTTCTCTTTATTCTGTTCACTGTGGGAAAGCTGTGCTTTCAAATATGTGTAGGTACTGGACTGCAGTATTCCATCTAAACAGTCTTAAATGAAAAAGTTCTTCTGTAGGATAAGGCAAACTATTTACCACTCTTCCGCAGCTCATTACTTAAAGTGGTCTGAGAGACAATATCTGGCTGTGGCCTAGAACAAACTAAGGGAACATATGCCCCTCAAGATATTGGCCAAATCCTGTTGCTTAGCATAGTAATTTGCACTTTTAAAAGCCCATTAAATGAACGGAGATTTGGGAAAACATCTTGTGTTCAATGTATTTGCGAAAGCTTTCACGGCTGGGATCTAATGGTTGTTGTTGGTTTTTCGGGCTCTTTACCTGTGTTCTGAAGGTTGTTCTTCCTAACGTTTTGCCAGTCTCTGTGGCCGGCATCTTCAGAGAACTCCTCTGTTCCATTGATTCAAATGGGCCCATGCTACCTGATATTTAGTATACTAAAGGTAAGCTGCAGCTAGAGTAGGACCCTTTTAATCAAAGGAACTTATGAAGATGCTGACTCACCAAATCCCCATTGTTTCAATGAACATTCTAATGCAAATTACTACACTAAGCAATAGGATTAGTGTAGTAATCCTATTGCTAAACTACTAATACTGAACTACTGTACTTGCCAAATTTGTCTTTTCCCACTGCCCAGGTTGGCAGGTGCTCATGCAGTACAGTATCTGGAGGACACCGCTTTCCTCACCTTAGATAAAATACACAAAGAGCATTTGTATTTTTGCATACTGTAAATATATTGATAAAGAACTAAAGAATATGAAATGTATAACTTTGAGAACTTAGTCAAGCATTTCAAATTCTTTGTTCCTGCCAAGGAACAAGAACACCACTTACACAGCCACTAAATGGTAAGTTGTAGCTTCTTGCAACATACCAAGTATATTGGCAGGTCTTTGGGTCCAAGGCCAAAGTCCATGTCTCCTAAGTTTCACCAATGTAAATTGGATCCAGCATTGGAAATAATTAATTTAATGGAAATCTCCCCTCTCCCTTTCTGATGGTCTGATGTATCTGAATAAATACTAGAACTGGAGTGCTGTATTCTGCTGGGTGCCTTTCCTCCCTCTCCCTCCTACAGCCTCTCTAATATCCAAATATTGGTTCCAATGAGTTTCCCGGCCTCCAAGTCTAGTTTTAAATGACAC